AGTGTCAGGAAATTTGCCTCAATGCTATTTTAGGACTGGTTTTGGGTTGGTGATCAATCGGTGAAGATGTTCGACCGATCGTTGGAGTCCTCTGTGTTTCGATTTTTGTCTCATGGTGATCGTTCGATCACGGATTGGGATCGGTCGATCATGAGGCTGTTAGAATTTTTTGGACATTTATTTTCCAATGTGATCGATTGAATACCAAGGTGTTCGACCGATCACCATGAGTAACGGGCCAAACATTGGTTTTTCTTCATGCCTCATCAAAGTTATCCCTCCGGATTGGTTTGGTAGGATCCTTCCGAGTAGCTGGAGCACTGAAACAAGAAGCTCTAAGTGGCACTTGAACTCTGGAGAGTGCATGCCACATCCTGTGTACCAACCCACTAGTCCTCTTGTGGCTCTCAACTGTCCACCAACGGTAAGCTGTCTCATCGTAAGGTCTGGAGACAGGGCAAGCTCATACTCAGTGGTAACCGGAGGCATTAGTGTACCACTCGCATCTAGGACTATGAATCCCACCACAAATGTTAACCAACTCAATTATTTCATTGCTCTAAAATTTCTTTGTTACATTATGCAGTAAAATTAGAATGTAGGGAACTATAACTACCACGCCTTAGGAAAGCCCCTATCACATCTGCCGCATCCTCTTGCCTTGTCTCATAATATGAACCACTTGACCAGATCTTCTATCCTGCAAGTCTGGTAAAAGGTGAGTATTGAATACTCAGTAAGACGGTCTACTCCGTCTCATAACGTAACTACCTATCTATCCTTAACTACCATTCACATGATGCCTCAACACCATGTGTCGTACTCTCTGTACTACGGAACCTTTCAAGGCTCCTCTTTACCATTTGACATGCCGGTTCTGTCTTGTGTCCTTCCGCATCGAGGTTGCCTGGTCTCTCTACCAGGGTTCTATTAATCTGTGGTACCGTCCTGCCGCATCGTGGCCTATCGTGTCACGGCACGATCTCTTATCGAGATGCGGCACGAGGTGATGCCGATACGTCCTTACTGCCTGTATCCAGACTCCATCAATGTGCTTGTCTATCATAATCTAGGCATTATCAATGCTCGTACTAAGGGCTACCGTGGCTCTGTCAAGGCGTCACCGATCTCGTATCGATAGCTTGTAAAGACGGGGCACGATGCTTCTGCCATGTCGCGGCACGATGCCTATCTTGGCACGATCCATAGCATGTCGTCACGTGGCACGAAGCTCTACCATGATGCGGCACGATCACTATCATGACACGGCACGATGCCCGTACTGATGATTTGCAAAGGCTCATCGAAGTACCCCAAGGCTATACCGACGTCCTGCCTTGACGCAACACTACTGTATGGATCGAGATGCTATCGAGGCACCCCGAGGCACTCTTGATGCTCTCTTTCCTTTATTGCAGCACAATATGTATCCGTACGAGACCGGGTACCTATGGAGACGCGGCATGACCGACATCGTTGCCTGTATCGCAGCCCCTTGCTGTCTACTAGACTCCTTCCCATGCTCGACCGTAGTCGAGTGGAACGTTGCCACTACCCGAACCTTATCGAGGGTCCCGTCCGGATCTCTTATCCGGATCGAGTATTCCTCGACCACTACTCTATCCTACAACCACATGACTACTAAAACACCTATGAAAGCAATAATAGAAAAAACTAGAAAGAAAAGTTAGGTACGAATCGCGCCTTACCTTAACCGTGCACCTTCTCTATCTGTGGGGCTCGGGTGTTGAGTTCCTTCTCAAGCTCCTCCTTATTCTCTTTTCTAAACGTTTCTCTTTGGCTCTGGAAGGAAAGAATGATTTTTGTGTGTAAAATATGAGTTTCTTAGCTCCCTATTTATATCCCACGAAAATTCCCCTAGAGAATATTCACTTTTCTTCTTTTTCTCCACCTCCTTACTATACCGACCAAGCCCATTCTATGTGCCCTTCTCCCCCATGTTTTTGCCTCTTTTCCTAAGGAAAAATTAGAGGTTCCCTTCCCCTTTAAGCCGTGGGCGGCCCGCTTACCATTTCACGGGCCAGTCCATGGATTTTTCTTCCCAAATGGACCATCCCTTCCTTTTAGACCATTTCTTTTCTTTCTTTAACCTCTAACTAAATTATTCTAAGTTACCTAAATTTCTATGCTTGGGCTTGAGATGTTACAATCAGCATCTCGTAGTGTCCCTGGCTGCTATCATGAGTAGGCATGGTGAAGGTATGCTCATCAACCTAAAGAATGCTAGTGGAGGCTAATGTGGTTCCTCTACGACAAACGGTACAAGTAATATGACCCGGCATGAACTCTATACATCCTGTGGTTCTCTTTTTTTTTTTTTACAAAATTAAGTAATGAAATCTGAAGAAAAATAAACTTGTTTTTGAGT